TGAAGGTATATCAGTTTTTAAAGTTTTACTATTTTTCCTAATGGTGGTCATGTAAATTATAACTGGACATAAGGCTAGTCTTTGGAAGGATGTCTGAACTGACTCCCAGCTCCTTTTTCTGGATTTTGGCTACGCCTGTGTATCTGTCTGACAGCTTGAATTGCTTGAGTTATCAGAATTAAAGTAGTCTGAAAATATAGTAATGAATTAAAAAGCAAATCTCATTTACTTTTATTTGTTTATTTTGCAGGTCACGGAACAAAAAACCAAAGGTAAGACTTTTTTTTCTTTTTAAATTATTTAGAACCTTTTGTGTTTAGCTTTTACACTGTTGCTGACTCAGCCTCCAATCCACTGAATAGAGAGTGAGCGTAGAGTCATTATTGTGGGTTGTTTGCAGTCACTGAAGAGCAGTCATGACAAATTGAAAATACTTGTATTAGTGTTTCTAGTTGGCCTTAAATTTTCTAGGAGGCAAAAGAGTAAATACCTTGTTTTAAAAAGTATATGGGTCATGGCTGGGCAGAGTGGTTTACACCTTTAATCCCAGCACTTTGGGAGCCTGCATCACTTGAGGTCAGGAGTTCTAGACCAACCTGGCCAAATTGATAACACCTCATCTCTACTAAAAATAAAAAATTAGCCAGGCGTGGTGGCTCATGCCTGTAATCCCAGTTCCTTGGGAGGCTGAGGCATGAGAATTGCTTGAACCTGGGAGGCGGAGGTCGCAGTGAGCAGAGATCATGCCACTGCACTCCAGCCTAGGTGACAGAGTAAGACTCCATCTCAAAAAAAAAAAAGTATGTGGGTCATGATTTTGAATTGAACCTTTTCAAAACTTTTTTTTTAGAATAATAGCAAAAAACAAACACCAGCTTTTAATTTACAGATGGGAATTGCAACGGTCTGTCAACCACCTTGACCCTTGGCATGCATTGAGTCTGATAATGGAATATTGCACCTAGGATGTTTACTCTGCCTTCTGAGCTAGAACTTAGAATATGCTTTTTTAAATGATAATACATTTTGAGTCACTTAACTGTTAAAAAAATAGTGACTTGTTGTAAACTGAAGCAGGTGCCCCTCGGGTCGTTCTCAACCTAATAGTCTATGTTATTTTGTCTTCTTGTTCTCCTTTTAATTTTGATCATGTAGTTTTGTCTGGTGATTGTCACACTTTTGCTCATTTCCCCTTCAGAATGAGAGAGTTAATTCTTCGGAATAGCTCCTTTCCTTGCCCACCTAAATATGTGTTTCACAGTTAGATATGCCTAAGAATCATTTGCATAAAATTGTCAAAATACACAGTCCCAGGCCATGGCCCTAGCAGATGTATTTTGAAAAGCTCTGCAGGTGACCCCAGTACATGTCCCTGGTTGAGAATCACTGCCTTGGATGAAGGGAATTAGATATGACTGTGATGACTTGGAGAAGGATAAGGGTGATGGAGAGGTCAAGGCTTGATGGGAGGCCCTGTAATGATTAGTTTCTTCATTGTTTCGTTTTATCAGACTACCAGGCCAAAGCCTGTCACACAGTGATGAAAGAGTGTAAGAGAGTGCTAATCTGTTAGGAAATTTAGTTATGGAAAATAAATTCTCAGATAATTAGGCGTTACTATAATAAATTTCTAACCAAAAGACCTTTCAAAGGAGAATGTAGTCTGGGAGTTTGTAGTGATGTATTTAAAA